ATCAAACCGAATTCTCTGCGGTGAACTCGCACGTATTGGTTTATGCCAACAGCAAGCGATCCCTACGATGTTCCGAGACTATTTTCGGCGTCGACAGAGTTGACGAGGACGACGAGGGAGAAGTTGACAGTGTTGATGATGAAGAGAGAGGGGGCAAAACGCTGGCTCAAAATTTTGCCAAGTGGCATGCGAAAGTAGAAAGCGCTGACGACGTTTATTACCAGAGGTTCATGCTCGAGCTTATCGTGCGGAAAGCATACAAGAATGGCAACTTCAAGTCCCTGAATGACAATGGGTACTACCGTAAATGGGCGGCTTACTCGGCTTGGCTCAAGAGTAGAGGCTACAAGTAACATACAGTTCGCCAAGCGACCAAACGTGGAGCCATGAAGACCTGGAATAACACGCCAACAATAGAACATTCTTGGCCTCAGTGCATCAAAACCTATAAGAGAAAGGCTGCTGAGTATGACTGCTGAGTAAGACTGCTGTGTGTTGCACGAAAGTACATTTCGTACAGTTCCGTGTACGTGTATCCGGAATCCTAGTGCGTCAATAGCAATCTGCTTAACTATTTTGTGACGTTCGACTTCGCTTCGGCACCGCAGTTACAAAGTTTCCAGTTTACAAATTGATCAGACGAGGACTAACCCACGAAACTACATGAGCTATGAGTACTACCTGAGCTAAGAGTTTGATCAACTGGAGTTAGCTGGATGGACAGTCTAACGTATCTTATTTCATTAATGGAAATGTGTATCTGACGCACGGTTATCTGAGTCGACGTCTATGAGTTTACAATATTTGAATGTTCGTGACTGTAAGTACGTGAGCAGTGTTGTGCGAATGGAGAAGCGTCGACCATAGAATGCCAAGAGGTATGTCACTAACACAGGCAGATACAAGGTGTATCTTTTGCGAGACTTTTTGTATCTGTAGTACGGAAGTATGAGATACTTCTACTTTACCATAGCTGTATTAATATCTGCCAAGTTACACCGTCTATTCAGACCTTGCGTTTCGTTTTACGATATGGGGCAGTCGTAATACATGACAGCCGTCCTAGTCTAAAGCATCATGTCTAGCATTTGGTCCACAAAATCAGTGTAGGAACCAGACATGTATTTGAGGATCGTATAGGACCATCGCTATAGTATTAGTATTCCCACTTGCACACACACACACATATTTCCTTGCTACCTTGTCTTCTTTTTTGCAGCCATTCATCAAGTGAGCTACACCAGCATCACATTGACAGGCCCACTCTAGCTTTTATATTTTAATATATCCACGAAACGCATTTCAATTTCCAC